ATTGTAAAGTAGTCTGAGGCGAACATTGTTTTTTTAGTCTCCATATCTATGGAAGGTGAATCTAATAAGTGAAAGTCAGTGTAACCATAGTCCGTTTCGATCATACATTCCCCATTCGCTACAATCGCCGTTCGCCATCCTCCCCGACAGCGTTTTTTGAAATAGGTGTATATCAAAGAAGTGCTACATATGTATTCACCTCTTGAAGATACCGACTGCCGAAACATGACAGCGGGTGGCAATTTTTTTTTTTTTTTTTTTTTTTTTTTACAGCTATTTGTGATGTTGGATGGCACTACTATTTGAATGATCGCAACAACAACGAAAAGTGCTTCAAATATTTTTCAAAACCGAAAGCTTGGGAAGATGCTCATACGTTCTGCCAATCCAAAGCTGCGCAATTGGTGACTATTGATAGCGACGACGAAAATACGTAAGTATTATACGAATAGCGAAGTTTTTATTAAATGATGTAGACGTCACGCGTATGTTTTTATATGATGTCCACACACAGGCCGCCCAACTGTTGCTTGATTGAATGAAGAAAAACCGCGGCTGCGCACGCTTATATTTATCGTCGCGCTCTTGGTGATATGCGGAATACCTTTGGTAGACCTCGCAGGATACAAGTAGTCTGTAAAAAGATATCTCACGTGTTTCATAAATTGTCACAGAGTAGTTTACATCCCGCGAGTTAAAGTGCATACTATGGCGCCAGCAATGTTGACCGCTAGTCGGAGTTTTAACGATTCCATCTTCAAAACTAAAGGATCACTCACCGAGTGGACTTGCAAATACAATTTGAATTAGAATGAGCGATTTGGACGCAAAAAAAAAACAGTTTGAAACTGCTAAGAATGATGTAGATTCTGATAATATATACATACTATACGTGCAAAGGGGAGGGAGGGTGGGTGGGGGTGGAAGAGAATCGATCTCATTTAGACCAAATATGAGAATTCGAACAACTATTGCAATCGCTGCCCATACCCCAATTACTCCCCCCTCCGCCCCGCCCCCCTCTATTCAACCGTTCCAAATGTGTTTTGCAAATATTTCCAACGATAAGAGCATATTTTTTTACTTGATTCAAACAGAAACAAACATTATTTGATGCATATTTATTAATCAGTAATATATTTATTGTATTTTCAACTCATGACAAAAGAGTTTATTCATTTCTCGGCACAACTTGCATGGGTCTGGTAACTACAGAAATAATATCATTTGTATGATCGTGATTGTTTGCAAACGGTCGGAATTTTATAGCGGATATGAATGCTCGCCTAAACTGAGGGCTTAGTATCCCATATATGAATGGATTTCCGCAGCTACTCGTGAACATTAGATAGATAACAGAGACGAAGACAACACGTGGGACCTCTATCCCCACCGTATCAATCACAACTACACAGGACACAGGTATCCAAGTAAAGAGAAAAAAGCAAACTACAGCGAACGTGGACTTTAGGATCCTGATATCATGTAAATGGTTTGTGCTGGGGTTATAAGCGTTGATGTTAGCAGTGGTTGACTTAACTTTCTTGTAAATGCTGTAATAACATGCAAATATGGCGACCGCTGTTCCACCAACAGCTCCACCGACAACCACAAGGGCATAAGAGATATTTTCCATGTCCCATACCACAGTACAAACTGAGAAGTAGACATGGTATTGCATTGARCCCCACCCATAAAGAGGGGGCGTGGCGAGCATCATGGCAGCAATCCACATGACAAGACAGTAACCAATAGCATAGCGGCGATTCTTGAAGTACTTCCCATATATGGTATTCCGGACGACTTTGAAGTATCGATTGATAGCTATCAATCCCATAGTAAGAATCGAACACACACCGAATGTCAACATAAAAGCTGCTGACCAGGGGCAGAAGTTCTGGCTCAGTACCCAGCGTCCTTTGGACACTGACAGCACCCAGAATGGCATTTTCAATGTCGCCATACTTACATCAGACCAGGCTAAGCTTTCTATGAATACATTGGTTATAGAACGAAGCCGTGGGTCTCTATGAAGGACGTAAATGAGCATAGAGTTGCCTAGCAATGAGGAAAGTGTGATTATAATCGCAAGGGTCGTCTCTATGGCAACTAATGTGGCAGTTCTTCCAAGAGGATCATGGGACGGCGCAGATGAGTTCATTTTAGCTGAAAAAAAAATAGAGTTTTTCATAAAATTAAAAAGTTAAAAAAACACAGCGAAACATTCGCCTAAAATAACATCTTTCTTTTAATTTCTTTATTATGTCAAACTTAATTAAGATTTTGCCTCATTTATTTTCAAAATGCGAAAAACTGTTAAAGCAATATCCTCCGTCTGCGCAGCAGGGTCCGATATTTGCATCAAATCTAAACAAACTGTGAAAATAAGCCAACTTCGTTTCTATAGAGCGAATTTCGTATGACTGTGCAAAAAACACGATACTTTCGCGCTGTGACCGTACCGTGCCGTAGCGGTGATGTATTGTAAAATCTTTATTTTTATTTGGAATCTTAGAAGGCGAGGTTCCGTGACCGTGCCGTGCCGTGTCCGTGCCGTGATCCGTGCCGTGATCCGTGCCGTGATCCGTGCCGTGATCCGTGCCTTTGCACAGTCATACGAAATCCGCTCTATAGCGGATTTCGTATGAGTGGGACACCGTTACCGCACGGTTACCGCACAGTTACCGCACCTGGCCTGCAGAATTTTGGTGAAACAATGGGGCACTAGAATTTGGTTACAGTACGATTACGGACACAGTACAGTACCGTCCGTTTCCCACTCATAAGAAATCCGCTCTATATGTGTTCATTGTTTAATAACGCTTTGAGGCAAAGTGCAATAAAACTATAATATTAAATTTCTGTGTTAGAGTTATTTCACAGTGAGGGACCTAAAAATAATACAAATAATGAAAAAGTCATGAATCTGATAAAAGGAATTAATTGGTACTAATGAATATATAGTTTTTAAGACAGTGGCTTCCGGTGGCAAAAGGCACGAGGAAAAAAAGACAAACAAGCTGAAATCGTGAAAACTATTCCATCATAATGCTTTTTATTCACGGGAGATGTCAAGGAAAAAGTGCATTATTTATGGAGTCGATCTTTGAATTGGTTCATGCTTGTCAATAAAAAGTCATCTTAAATCCATGTCAAATCCGAAACGATGAAAGAAAGCGATCGATTGCGATTTGCGTCATATCGTAATTATGATGACCATCGCTTGATAAAACTCTCAAGTCAGAAAATCAGAGATAGCATTTTTAGCTTAAAACAAGTAATTTGTATATGTTATCGATAGGTTAAATTTGTTTAGATCGTTAAAACTATGAAAATGAACTGAATAAACATTCAATGTTTTTAGTTTACATGTACGTCATTTCCTCGCCTCTCTTTCTTCGAAGTCAAAGACTAAAAAAACATGCAATGTACTTTTTGTAAAACATCTGAACTCGTTGCTAACAATGCGATATGTAATATTTTTGACATCTTATAGTAAAGAATTGAATTGTGTTGAAGACACATCTTCAGATCTTTAAAATGATATTTAATTGGTTCGGATTGCCAAATATCGTTATCAGTCTGACAGAAGTACTCTAGCTATATATATTATTTCCTTGTTATAGTTACAAATATTAATAAATCACAAAAAACTTACCGGGACGTTCTAAAGGTTGAGAAGCATTAAGCATGTACAGTCGACTTGTATAACATGCAGCATCAAAGTCTTTAAATGAGCTGTCAACTCGCGCAGGTGCTTTATAGGGTCCGCCAGCTCTAGGGGAAATTAAACATATTGTTTTAGCAGCTTGAGTGTATAGTAGTAATTTCCGATCAGACTTCGTCCGAAAGGTCTGAATACTTCCAAAGATTATTGTCTTGTTGTGGAAACAGGAGAAATTGCTGCATCAAAGATCTTGTCTCACTAGAAGAGTGATAATGAGGTTGGCTATAAAAACGTTGACAACTTTTTACCGTTGGGTACATATTTGTCATGTTAGTGCCTCAATGTTTTTTCGCCGCAAATTAGACTTAATTTCAAGCAATCAAATTGGCAGAAATCACAGACTTTAACAGGTTTGCGGCGTCTGAAAGCATTCAGATGAATCAAAATGACTAGAAATTAAATTTTGAGTGTGTTTATAGAATAAAACTTCCTTTTTGTTTCGACAACAAAGCATAGAATAAAGTGCTCCCTGCATGGCGGATTGATATGATATCCTGTTGATGTTATACGGTTCGTGATGACTTTTACTTGAGATTTTAATCTTTTTTATAAGCTCATTACCGACAAACATCTTAACTTAAAGAGTTCTTCAGCTTTAACATCAATGAGCTTTTCTAAGGAACATCACATATCCGGCTATGAGAGATAACTGATCAGTCGAAAATCGAGAGCCTTCCTTCCTAAATCCTCCACCCCTCCGGCCGATGTTCTATATTAACACAGTAATCAAAGGACATAACCAGCTACAATAGATCGGCTTTTTACCACGAAAACGATCAAAATGTATGTTTGCCTGCAATTGTTTGTTATTGTTGTTGTTTTATTTTTTTGTTTCTTTTTTTCGAATGTTTCCTTAAAAGACCATACATTTTCCGGGATTTTTTTAAATTTATTTTTTTTGAAAAGTATAGTCAGTGATTTGTAGCAGAATTCATAAATTGATCGTTTTCACCCATTCCCATGAGATCCAAAAGATAAAAGATCGGCGGCCATGTTGGAGGAATGAACAATAGATACTAACGAGAAATCCTTTGTTAAAGTTCCTCCAAGATGGCCGCTGTGACGTAACATGCAAACCAAGAATTTGTAAAATTTATAGATGGTTCTGAAGCACGCTTTTTTAAGTGACCTTCGCAGAGCGTCAATTGATCAAATACACTCCTCGTTTCTCCCCGTTTCCTTTTTTCCATATGCAATACACACAGCTTGTATCGGATATATATTGAATGTCGAAAATGCATGCTCCCATTTCTAAGAGACTACTTAGACAATACGGTGTCTATGATGGCAGGGTGCAAATAATTTCTACGTGGATTGTGGAGTAAATTAATTAACATTCATTCTAGCAAATCAATGCGGACGTATTTTAGATTTTTCGTGGCGGGAGTTGATTCAAATATCCATCTCCTCAATCTATCTCCATCCGTCGGTTTTAAGGTTTTTTAAAATCTTTTAAAACCTTTTCATTCTAGAAGTTCAATGCGGAGTTGTTTTAGATTTTTCATGGAGGAAGTTGTTTCAAATATCCATTTATCCTCAATCTCCATCCGTCGGTTTTTTAAAACATTTTTTAAAAGGTCGAATCTTGTAAACAGTATCTCCATTCATATAGTATAAAGGGTTAG